AAGTCTCATCACGTCATCATTTAGTTCTGTTACAGAAGTTTGTCAAAATCAGCTGAACAATTCCTGTTTTGTGAGGTCACAGTGACCTTTCACCTTTAGATTTCAACCGGCAAAATTCAATCAGTTCATCTTCAAGTTCAAACCAATGTCTGCGCCAAATTTAAAAGAAATTCCCTCAAGCCATTCCTGATATATCGTGTTGGCGAGAATGAAAGTGACAACCCGAAAACGTAACGCCTCCAGCAACAGCTGCTGCTGCTGCCATGGAGGCATCATAAAAGACACCTGCTACGTGAGCTCACACGGTTATTAACAGCAGCATTAAACCGGACAGTTTCAATTGCACGCCACGCCCCTTAAAATACTAGATACTAATGGGAAACATTTCACCTGGGAATTCAGCCAAGGTCGTCCATAGAAGGTCCTTGTAGTCTGCTGATGTTAAATATTTACATTCGAGGCTGCAGGTCGGTTCGATCTTGGCTCCTTGGGTCGCTATAAGGAATGAGAACGGTTTGATTTCAGGTATTTGTTCAAAGTTAAGACAAATACTAAAGCTGATACTGGACTCTGTTACGTACCCACGCATGAATCTCCAGCCTGGAACAGCTCCGTTGTCAACAGGACAATCCCGTAATAGGAGAAGGCGTTCGCGAACCTTTGTGATAAAATAACAAAAAAGTGTTCTAGAAGCGAAATCGGTTGAACATAAAGCATGAAATATCAGGTGCTCCCACTCACTGGGCATTATGTGTGCAAACAGTGGACTAGAAAAGAGCTCCTCTGTATCATCCTGCATGGTGTCGTGGATGTAAGTCACTACTTCCATCACACTAAGTGGCCCAACATCAACAAAGGTCTTTACAGCTCATTCTGACACTCTGCCAGTTATTAGTGAAGAGATTTGCATTATTCCAGTTGACTGGTGCACACTCCCAAACAAATTTGCACTCAGTCAAACAGCCACAGACTGACACATGGTGAACCTGGAGCGTTGCCAAGTAGGTAATCTGTGACTAAATGTTTACCTTTGATCAGAATAAATGATTAAAAAAAGTTCACTACAGAAACGCCTGGTCAAATTTAAGGCTAAAGATTTCTATAAGCCAGATGTGTAAGGCAAGAAAACAAGAAGATGGAACTGCCAATGTTGGACCTAATTTACTTCAGATAATTTCAAGCTGTCTGGCTGTAATTTTAGCACAGTTAAACAACTGTTTAGAAAATGTCACTGGTATGCAGGTAAAAATAACCTAAAGACAGAGTTGCTAATCAAAACAAGGCAAGTGACAGTTCACTTGAATTCCATTAAATGCTCTTCCTTTGATGAGATCATCTATTTACA